CTTACACTGACCTTTAAAGCTTCTGTGAGGCTGGGCAAGTTTCCATGATGGGCTTTAACATATCATCTGTGTATCCTCCACAGACAAACATGAGCACGCTGTTCTGCATTCCACAGCACACAGACCTTATACTCTCACTCACAGATCAAAACTTAGATTGAATTATTAACAGTGAACACTGCCACAAATACATCAGCTATGCAGTCTGCTCCTAGGCTGAGTCTCCACCATTCTTGAAGTCCTCCCCACACAGATCAAGGCACCTGGCTAACCCCCCATCCTGAAGCCCTGCTAGAACTCTTGCTGGAAGTCACTTCTGCTTCCCCCGTGCAGCTCCTCTTAGCACCTTAAGAAAGAGGCAATATAATCCAGACAATCGGCACATATTGCCAGGCACTGGTGCATGCCTATAATCCCAGCACTCAGGAGGCTGAGGCAAAAGGATTGCCATGAGTTCGAGGGCAGCCTAGGCTACATAGTGAGGTCAAAGCCAGTCTGAACTTTACAGCAAGATCCTGTTTCAAAAAAATTAATACATATAACTGGTAAGAATAATCAGCCTGGAGCAGGAAGAGCATACCCTCCTCCCAGCTCCAAATTCAAAGCCAACCCCACACCAGACTGCTGCTGTTGCTAGAGGAGACTTGGGGCCAAGTTTCTCCTGTCTAGAAATGCAGATAACGGGAAGTAATTGGAGTCCTCCTCTATGCCACTCAGCAGTACACAGTGGACAGCCTTGGTGATCCACAGACAGGCCTCGAGGCCCTTTTCCAGCACGAGAGGTGGCTCTTCAGTATAGTCCTCCAGGGCTATTAAGCCGATGGGCAGCAGGAAAGGTTTTTGAAAGGAAAGAGTGGGCTCTGTGGGGGTCAGGGGAACTGACTGCTCCAGTCCAGCCCCAGCCTCACTATGGAAAGGGGGGCAAGTTCACCTAGAGTGCTGCCCTCAGGAGGCAGAGGGCAAGATCAGAAGAGCCACCAAATCTAAAAGGGCAGTGGCCCTAGGAAACCAGGTACCAGCCAAGAACAAAGAGGACAGAGCTGTGAGGATCTCAAAGTTAAACAAAGGCTTCTTTCTGTAGCCAGTTCCTTTACCTGGGCCAGACAGATAGACAGACAAGCACAGGTGCCCCGTGCGCGTGCACACGTGCGTGCGTGTGCACACACACACAAACACACGCATGCATGTGCCCCTCGGCAGCCATAGTGGTCAATTCTTGGTCCACATCCCCACCCCATGCATCCCTTGTCTCTCATCACAGACACTCACACATGCTCACAGTCGCAGAACATCACCCACACAGTGCCTGTGCCATTCTGATTGCTGGAACAACACAACCGCTGACAGTCGTGGGTTCAAATAGGCACAATGGAAGAGATGCAGGAAGTCACTGAGCTTCTCCCCAAGGGGGAGGGGGCAGAAGGAGTGGAACAGAGATGGGACACACCGCTATCTCCCAGGGGTGGGGGGAGCTGGAATTCACATCAAGCAGGTTCAGTGTGGCTACATAATAATAATCCCGCACATTTGAAGAGGACTCCACTTTTCAAAGCACTCTTCCATCCATTTTCACCGCTTGGAGTAACACTGTGGGGTGTAACTAGTCTCCTTGAGCTCAAATGACCGCCCCACCCCATAGGAATAAAGACACTGTCTCTGAGATAATCTTTGACACCTTCACACTGGAGCGTGGTTGTGGGAGCATGGTTGTTTGTGAGTGAGCGCACAGAGGCTTTATGTAGCAGAGTGGGATACAGTCAAACAAAAATGAGATTGCCATGGCAACAGGCTCCGGCATCATTGCAGCCTATTAACACAAGTGAGGAATGTGTTTGGCAGATGCTCCGGTGTTATTTATGGTATGGGTGTAGCAGAGGGACTTCTGACAGGCAAAAGAGGAGGAAAAAGCAACCCCATGACGCTCCTACTGTACCCCAGTGAGCACATGAGGAGACAACAGCAAGACAAGAGCGCGGAAGGCAGAGAGGCCACGAACGGGGAGCAAGAGAGGAGAAGGAGGGACACGCTGGAAGGCTGGGACAGGAGAGGTGGGCAGACAGCGACAGGGGCCTGGGGGAGGAGGCACCGAAAGGAAAGGTCAGCGGAAAGGCACGGGCAAGGAGAGGGAAAGGGCAGAAGAGGAGGGCGACGAATCCAGGGAACGACCAGAGCTGGAGGTACAGACAGGGAAGGAAGAAGCTCCCTTCCACAGAGGCTGCTGCACTTGGCCCCTACTCGCCTGATGAGTGACAAGCAACCAGTTAAGACAGCACGTGTTCTTTGCCAAGGACAGAGCCCAAGCATGAAAGAGGCTAGGGAAAAACAAGATGCACAGGTCAATAATGATATGTGGAGGACCTGGGCTCTGGGTGGGTGCACAAGGCTGGCCTTGTGAGAAGTGAAGAAACGCCCAGACCGTTTACTCAGGGCCTCCCACGTGCCACGGGTAAGTCTCAAAGCCTCAATACTAGAAATCGCTCTCTGCTATCCTTTCCCTGGGCAGGTGTCTTCATGTGAAAAACAAAACAAAACAACAAAAAGCATCCTCCCTCAATCACACCAAATACCAGCTACTCTGGCCTAACCCAAGGCAGAATTTAAGGCTGGGCTGTATCATTGAGATTCCTGGACCACCCAGCACACTTTGCTCAAGCAGGACAAATTTTGTATCACTCATACACAGAGAAGCAAATCAAGTCCAAACAAAAAAAGAGATACAGTTTTTGCTGAAGCCACATAGAAAGAATGTTTACATTCTTTCATCTTAGACCATTCCTAACCACCTCTGCTGAGCTCAGAGCAGACCGTGAAAAGTTGAGTGTAAATCCACCCAAAATCCCACAGCCAAAGAAAAGTCTAGAGATCACAATGGGTAAAAGAAGCATGGAGTGGAGAGGAGATGGAGAGGGCTTTGCCTAGAGAGCCTGAGGGGAAGTCAGACAGACACTACTGCAATGACATTTTCACGCTAAAATGGAATTGCAGCACCCAAACTCCGAACCCCTTTTCTGGAATCTGATGCTAATCTCCTGAAATCGGAGGTCCAAGATTGCTGATGGCTATAATCAGACCCTGTGTGCCAAGCTGGTTTAGAAAAACAGCCTGAACTACCTTGGAAATCTCTGCTCTTCCACACTGATGGCATCTGCTTCCCTCTGCAGAAAACCTGCACCCAGGCAAGGCAGGCACACTCGCTAGAGACACCAGCAAGCTGAGCACTTAAGCTTTCAGGCAGAAAGAGTTAGAGCCTCCAGAAACGCTACTAAGAGTAGTCACTTTTTCAAACCACTACCCCTCAAAAGATTCTCCTAAATTCAAAGCTAATATCTAACAGTCCTTAAAAATTATTTTCTTTTTATCCTAATTCAGAAAAACTTTAACTTAACATCACAGTTCCACCTACTCCACTTACTGGGCCCTAACCAACCTGGCAAGTACTCATTAAATCACTACGAAGCGTTCTGCAGTATGCTAGGCAAGGGAGAGAGAGGAGAGAGAACACCAGTACCCGAGGTTTCCTGAAGCCAGTGTGGTTCTACTCACTGCCTAGGAAGCAAAACCAAGGGACACTGGAGGGTAAGTGCCCCAGGCTGTCTCAGGTAATCATGCAGAAGAGAAGAGAAAGAGCCCTGTGTGGCCGGAAAGAAGGTTCTTTGCAGGATTGTGGTTTGGTAGGAATGTAAGAGTGGACGGGGCATAATCAGTCCTCTTTCCCAGAGAGGTTCCATGAATGCTGAAGGTTCAGCAAGGACCCAGCACTCTGAAGTCCACACCAGTGCTATTCTCTATAAAGGAGTATGCCTCCAGGAAACCGACGGTCACAGAGGTTCCCCAACAAGACCAAAGTCTGGGGAAGGCAGCAGAAGAGGGCAGAAGGAAGGTAGGGACACTGGAATGCTACATGTCAGCATTGAGAGAGTGCTGGAGTGTACAGTGGGGTCTTCCTCCGTCAAGATGCTCGCTCAAAGCAAACTTGGCCTCTCTCCGTGGAGCAGCATGAAAACCAGCAAGCTCAGTCAGCATGGGCCATGTGTTGGGACAGACAACAGGATGCTAACGGAGCAAGTGTGGATGTCACAAAGGCCGCCTCACCCAAAAGTCGGGATGGTAAGCATTCCACCGTCCAGAGGCATGCAATCATCACTAACTAGGCAGAAGTTTCATCTTCTTCCTGACTCACAGTTCCAGGTTTGCCCAGCAAGTCCTAGTGGTGATAAAAAGCCCCTACCACCAGCCATGACCAGGAGCACCCACTAAAAAGGATCACGATACCCCAGCACCAAGCTTCCTGCCCAGGCCAGGCATGGGTCCACCACCACACAGCTCTGCCACTTCCTCCCACCTTTCCTGACTGCAGCTTGTTGGCTCAGGGCATTTTAGTATGCAAAACAAATTTGTTACTCCTTCTTCCGGGTCATAGCTGTAACCAAAACAAACCAGCAGGAGACAGGTACTATTTTATCTCCTTAAGACTAGGCCAGGGGGCTGGGGATTTAGCTCAGCGGCATAAGAGCCTGCCTTGCAAGCAGGCAGTCCTGAGTACGATTCCTGGTACCGCTAAAAAGGAAAATGACAAAAAAAAAAAAAAAAAAAAAAACCACTAGGCTAGCGGTGCCCATGGTCTCTCTATCCCAGTCCTTTACCCAAGTCACTATGAACAAATCAGTCCTGACACTCAGGACTGGGTGGCCAGTTTGGTTTGAGGCCTTCCTACTTAGGGGCAGAAGCTGTGGGAAAGATGGGAACTTCTACATGTAATTTTCTCCAACATTTCTTTCTCACCAGGATCTCCAGTGATGGCTACAGTTTAGAACGTGTTGTCTACCAGGCCTGCGACATTACAAATAATACGACAAACACAAACATACTCCTGTAAATAGCAGCTCTGGGGCAAGAGAAATCAAGAAGCCAGCCTGTGTGAGGGTGAGATGCCTTTCTCTGATATCAGGCGAGACCCACCTGCCCCACAACCCAGTTCCCGTGGCCAAGAGGGCCCCTACCTGTTTGAGCAGGAACTGGTCCTGGGCATTGGTGCGCAGGGCGATAGCCAGGTGGAGCGCAGACAGGAGCACCCCGCTAAGCACCGCAGCCCGCATGCGGACGGGCAGCAGCGTGTATATGGTGTAGATGAAAAACACGGTCCACCAGATGCCCTCCGAGGCGCTACGCGGCTGCGGCATCAGCAGACCCACGACCTGGACGACCAGCACCACAGCGATGAGCGCGTAGCAGGCCAGGCCCATGTGGTCCTGGTGGAAGGCAGCGCGGTTGCAGAGCACGGCCATGACAAGGATCACACCCACGGCGGCGGCCAGCACGCCCAGGTAAGGCAGCTGGAGCGGGGGCCGCGCCGCGTGGAAGGCCAGCATAACGAGGCACACGAGCACTAGCACGGCCATCAGCATGGTGAGACTGCTCTGGTTCAGGCGGAAGAAGTAGCGCTGGTACAACCGCTCCAGCTTGTCCGATGGGAACTTCTTGGAGCGGAATATCTGCAGCAAAGCCAGGCAGCAGGCGCCCAGCGACAGCACCGCGCCAGGCCCGGAGCTCGAGCCTGCCGAGCTACCGCCATCCCCGGACCCCTCGCCGTCCTCGACGGCGCCGGCCTCCAACTCGTCGGCCGCGCGGCCCTTGCCCCGTCGCTCCTCCAGGCCCAGCTCCACCGAGCGGGGGCGCACCTCCGTCCCGCCCGCCGCGGCCGCCGCGCCGCCGCCGCCGCCCGCAGGGGGCGCCCGGGTGCTGCCCCCGCCGGCCGCGCCCCGCCGCTGCCTCCGGCTGCCGCGACCGCAGTCCTCGCCGCCGCGCTCCTGCCAGGCGGACTTGGAGCGGAAGCTGAAGTCGAAGCCCCCGGCCAAGGGGTCGTCGCCTCTAAGCGGGGCGTCGTCGTCGTCGTCCCCGCGCCAGCGGCCAGCGAGGCGCTGCTGCCGCTGCGGGGTGGCCGCCCCTCCGGGTTTCTTGGTGGACCCGCGGACAGAGCCCCCGGGGGCGTGGGGGTAGCCGTTGGCTCGGGAATCCGCCTCGCCCCATGCGGAGCGGTGCTCGGGACCCCCCCGGGGGGCCGGTGCCGCGGCGGTCTGCGCCGCGTAGCCCGGGGGACTCACGCTCTTGGAGCCGGACATGCCCCCTTCGGCCTCGTCTTCTTCCTCCTCCCCCAGGAGCCGATCAGGGGGTCTCCAAGGAGAGGGCGGCCGGCCGAGCAGGGGGACCAGGCTGGGGTCACACGTCGGGGGCGGCCCGGGACCTTGTGCGGCAGCTGGGCATCTTGGCACCCCCGTCCTGAGCGGTGGGAGAGGACAGCGGGACGACGGCGGGGCGGCGAGCGCACTCCCGAGGTGCGCGGCGGCTGAGAGTCCGAGTTAAGAGTCGCAGGTCCGAGATGGAGTTGGCTCCTCGCTGGGGCAGCGAGGACAGCTCCGGCTGCTGCGCCGCGCACGGAGGGACGTCGGGACTCCTGGCTCGCGTCGAGCTCGACAGGGGCCGGAGTTGAGGACTAGGCGGGACGGAGAGGTGTCCTTGCGGGCGGCGCCTCCCCGGAGCTGGCAGAGCCCAGGCGCGGCGCTCGCAGATGCCGCCTAGGCGAGGCTCCGCGGCTGTCCTCCGGGCGAGGTGGCGGCTCGGCGGGGGTCCTGGCGCGGAGGAGCTTCGCGTGCCCTCTTCTCGCGGAGCACTGGGAAGGACTGGGAGGTGCGGGCGCCTGCCAGCATTATTTTCTTACGAGGGGTGGGGAGGTGCAAGGGGGGGTGGAGAGGACGGGGGAGGGGGCGGCAGGCGGAGCGATAGCGCCCCAGCCCTGGGGGGGAGGGTCCTGGAGTCCGGGGGGGCTGTCGCCCGCATCCCCCACCTCCCGCCGCGAGAGTGAGAGCGGGGCCCCCGCGGAAGCCTAGCCCGGCTTTCGGCGCGTCCGTCCGCGCAGGGGGCGGGGGCGAGCACCGGCTCCCGCGGTGCGGCCCTTCTCCTGTCGCCTCCCCCTCGTCCCCGAGCTGAGCGGGACTGGCCTGCACCCGCTGCTCCCGGCGCTGTCGCGCTGGCTCCGCGAACCCCGAGCTCCTCGCCGCCGGCTGCAGGCCCACCGCGACCGAGCGGAGGGCGGGATCCGGTGCAGCGCCGCCGCACGCAGGCGGGCTCCTCTGGCGGAGCACGGCGTCCAGCGATGCAGCGCCGGCGATCAGAAGCAGCCCGCCGACATCTGCCCGCCGAGAAGCCGCGGCGCCCCGAGGGCGCTCCGGGGGGGCCCGCGGGAGCCCGGCTCCGGGCGCGCCATGCACGCCTCGGGCCCTGCGCGCTCCGGCCGCTCGCGCCGCTCCTCCCTGCTCGCCCGCTCGCCGCCGCCGCCGGAGCGCCCTCCGCATCCCCCCTCCCGCCGCCTCCCCGCCCCCCGCGCCGCTCGGGCTCCGCTCACAGCGCCGCGCGGCCGCCTCCGCCCTCGGCCCGGCCGCGGCCCCAGCCTCGGCGCCGCGCGGGCATTGTCGGCCGGCCCGGGGGCGCGGGGACCCCCGCTTCCTTCGCTCACCTAATACGCTCGCCGCGCCGCGCCCCCTCCCGGAGCCGGTCCAGCCCACGGCCCCTCCCCGGACCCGACCGGCGGGCGGTCTCTCCCCAGCCACCACCCCCCCCCGTTGGGGTTGCTGAACCCCCGGCCCCAGCTCCCCTCTTTTGTATCACCTTTTCTTCCCCCTCCCCCATTCAACCCAACTTCAGCCCTGGCCGGAGCCCCCCCCCCCCCGGCCCGGCCCCATTGGCCGCTTCGCGAGCTGTCAGGCTCCAGTCGGCTCTCCTATTGGGCGGCTCTCTGGCCGGCTACCGAGCCAAAAGAGGGCGCGCCGCGCGGGGGTGAGGGGCGCCGGGGCAGCGCCGGCCGCAGGGGGCCGGAGGCAGAGGCCTGGAGAGGCCCGAGGGCCCCCAGAGCCGGGCCGGAGATGGGCTGGGGAGATGCTGAGACCGAGGACCACTGAAGCGCTGGAAGACAGCGACGGGAAAGATGGAGATCAGTGGGTGAGGCCGTGCAGCCGGGGCGGGGCGCACAGGACCGCTCTGGTGGCTAGCTCCTAAGAAGCCCTGCGGACCGCGCTGGGAACACCTGGCGCTTATATGGAGCCTTTTGTCTGTTGTTACGTTTGTTTGTTTGTTTGTTTGTTTGTTTGTTTGAGAGAAAGTCTCGCTATGCGGTTCAGGCTGGCCTTGAGCTCACTTTGTAGCTCAGGCTGGTCTCGAACTTGCAATGATCCGCCTGCGTCACTCTTCCATACGCTCGGATTACAAGAGTGCGCCACCACGCTCGGCTATTCTTAACTTTTTAAAATATGGTTTGTTTTCCCCTCAGTAACCCTGAGTGTGTTTATAGATGCGGCAGCAAGGGCATAACCAGCTTGCTGTAGATCACACAGGTCTCCTAACTTGCAGCCCAAAGATCGTTCTTCAACTCCAGGCTGCCTCCCCAATCCTACCAGCTGTTGCTAGGAAGGACGCGTCCCAGAGCAATAAGAGGGTGTGGGGAGCCCCCAGAATTCCTGCCCAGGGCTGGCGACAAAGGCAGAATGAAAGACTTCATTGCTATACAGAGAACCTCTTTTGCTCTAAGCTGCCCTGCTGGGGTTCTGGAGAGGTGGGACTCCAACCTTCACGTTCCCTTGTCCATCCTCCAGCTCTCCTCAGAGCTTTGAGGAGGATCCCAGAGGCCTAAGAGAGCTGTCTCCTCCCCTGTCCCCCACTGCTGGTCATCTCTGAAGACTAGAAGATTAATGTTGCTGGAGTCTGATTGGGATAACACCAAATCAGCTGGGTAAACTAACCCTTGAGGAATTGTCCAGCCTTTGAGTAACCCATGATTAGCTCAGTGATAAAAAAAAAACAACATGAACTCAGTCAACAAAAACTCTAGATCACCCCCAATGTACAAAGCACTAGGCTAGGTGCTACCACCCTGGGACAAGGAGCTCACTGTCTGGAAGGGAACAGGGCTGGTCCTGATTACCAGGTTCAGCCAAGTTCTGTGTAGTTACAAATCCAAGACTATGTCATGTTGAGAGAGAAGCAGTCCTGTCCCTACTGTGAGAGCCGAGAAAGGGTCCAGCAGGGAAGGGTGAATGAGAAGAGAAGATAGACTCGTGTTTATTAAGCTACTGTGTACTGTATGTAAATATTTTGTTGTCAGTGTCAAAGGAAGACATTACAATAAAGTTAATCTACAGATCTTAATTGGCTTTTTAAAAATGGGCTTTTATTTGTGTCAAGAATCAGACAACACCTCATTCCATAAAATAGATTGTTCGGATGAGCTGAGGAGCCAGTTGGACATGACAGAAAAAGGCCCTAAGAAGCAGAAACAAATCAAAGAATGCACAGGTTGTTTCAAAGTTACTTTCCCTGTAAAGGTTAAATCCCACCCATTTGCCGTGCGATGCACCTGATTCTTTAGAGGTCAGGATCTTTAGCATGAGTCATTCCGTTTCAGTCTAGTCTATGGGACCTAATACAGGCTCAGTCCAAACCAAAGGCCTTTTACAGATTTTATTTAACATCAGATAATCATTTTGAAGAAATGATTATCTCCTTTATACCCTTGCCAGTATAAAGATGAGAAAATAAGACTTAGAGAGTGAAAAAGTTTATCCAAAGCCACCATCAGCAGTCCACTATTATGCAGCCCCTTAGGACAGGTCACATCACCAGAGGTATCAAGGTCATAGGTCAGGGGCCCATCCTTGATCCTCTTCTCCTTCCTTGAAGTCTCCTTATGTCATTCCTTTCATTTTACTCATTTTTATTAAAAAATCATCTTACAATAAAAGCCATATATTGATTGATATAGGGAAAAATAATTCTACCACCCAGAAAGAATCAGCATTAAGGCATTAATTTTTTCTTACACAATAACTAACACTTTTACTTTACAAATAGTTTCAGAGTCTACCTTTTCCTACCTTGCAAAATATCATAGATTCTTTTCATGTCAGTAAGCCTTCATCAGTAACACCCATTTTGTGGTCAGAATCAAATTCTCTTTCATGGGTATCACATAATTTGTTTAACCAGTCTTCTACTGCTACACATTTTTTTACTGTTGTAGCAATTTATAAAGCATTTCCACACTTTTGCTATTACAAACAGCATTTTTTGTAATGAATCTTCACACACATTCTTAATTATATCCTTGGGAGAAATTCCTGAGAGAGAATTACGAGGGTACAGGATACAGCACATTTCCCCCTAACATACTTCTGAAACGCGTGCCTTCAGCCCTCACCTCCCTTCCCAGTCCCAAGCTTTCCCTGCCCAGGATGTGTGCTCCACCCACACTCTAGGTCCCACTCATCTGACCCCAGGTTCCTCTCCTTAGGAGCTTGCTCTTCCCACCAGTGAGGTGACTATCACCAGACTCCCCAAAAGCCAAGGTTTCTCCTCTGCCCATCTCTTCACATCTGTTTATTCTTCCACATTCTCTTACAACTACCTTTTTCCAGGTGGTCTTCTTTGCTTGGACAATTGCCACCTCTCCCCTTGTACTTAAACCTTCCCTGTCCCCACATCACCCAGCCACCCTGAACGTCCTTGTATGGCTCAGCAAGTGTTATCCCTTTTTCTCCACAAATTAAACTGATAGCGCTCAAGTAAAGCATCTTCTAATGCCCCTGCCCTCCAGCTCTCCCTCCCCATGTTGGCGGGCAGGCCCAGCACACCTTGCTTAAACAGCATCTCTGTCAAAACTCACTATGTTCCCTTGACTTGTTCATAGAACCTTCTCATGGTCCCTGGACCCTTGAGGGCACAGTTGGTATCTTCTGCATTCTGTGCCTGGAGCTTAGTGTGTTGCCCAGCACAGAGGAGATGTTTAGTAGTTGTGAAGTAAACAAATGGGGTACATCCGGGTCCTAGTGATGGGAATGGAGTCCTAGGTGTATGGGGAGGAGGGAGTGAAGTGGTAAATAGGCAGGACCAGATGGGTTGGATTCTTCAACACAGCAGAGGAACTTGGGTTTAAAGACAATGAGTAGCCCCTGAATTTGAGGATAGGAATGCCCTGGTCCACTGTATTTTGGAAGGCAAACTGGCAATGCTGTAGCCACACTGAAAAAGCACTGGGCATCCTGGCACACACCTGTACACTCAACAGTCTGATAGGCTGAGGCAGCAGGATCATACGTTTGAGCCAGCCCAGGAACATTCATGACTTGATGAGATCCTGTCTCAAAAAGAAGAGGGACTGAGGATGTAGCTCAATGTAAAGAACTCGGGTTCAATCCTCAATACCACAAAATAAAATAAAAATAAAGCAAGTTCTGAGAGCATAGGAGGCAAGTCAGGAAGCTACTGCAGAGCAGATGTGGCTTGGGACCCAGTGACACAGTGGTGGGAATGACCACACCATTGGCTAGAAGAGAACTACGGAGGGCTGCAGAAGAAACCAAGGAGCCAATCCCTGTGTGAAGGAGTCCTCCCGGTCGGGGAGGGGGTGGGAGACCTGGAAAAGCTGGGCCACCAAATATAAAGGCACAGGTCCTTCAGACAGACTCTAGGAAGTGCACCCAATGGGAAGGGTGCTGGCTTCAGAGGGGTGATGATGACAGGTCCGACGTAGGGGACTGAGCCCTGTAGATTTCCAAACCTCACACCTCTAAGCCTCTGGGCCTCAGGGAACAGAAACCTTTCAAAGAGAGCTCAGATTGGAGCCGAGGTGG